CCCCATTATTTAACAAACGTAAACGTCCCACTATACTATATGTTTTTCCTTTATACGATAATCTTTCAAAGAAATGTGATCTTAAGTGTTAAGTAAGAATTGTTGGATTGTATGATATTTAAAAAAAATCTGAATAGAAACCCTACGAGGTCTTGAGGAACGTTGAAACACCTCACATCCTCTTGCTAACGCAGCTCGTTCATGCATGCATTTTGGGGAAGTAATCAAATCGCGCCATATAATTAGCGTTATTTAGTTAGAAATATACTCTAATAGGCCTACTATTTGGATGCAAATTATTGCAAATACCAAACACGGCAAGTAGTTAGGCCCTATATATATATATATATATAGGCCTATTATATTATTACTTATACGTTATACTGCCGAGGGTTCTGTTCTGACCATTGCGTAGGCCTATAGACTGCCGTGATTCTGACCATTTCCACGTTCAACGTTTTGTAGAAGATGATAAAAAATTGTGAATCGAGATCGAGTAAAATCCAGACCCAGTGCACCCTAGCAGGAATTTTAAATGCAACCGCTATTTATATTCCTGCATGTGGTTGAATGATGCATTTGATATGTACATTTTGTTAGCTTTACTTCTCCTTGCATATTGAATTTTAATGAGAGTAACATATATGATTTAAATTTTTTAAATGTATACCTGCATGTGTTTTTACGGTCCTGTACAGCCACGGAAAATTTCCCTCTGGGATAATAAAGTACTATCTTATCTTATCTTTTCTTATCTATTTATTAATTGCACAAAGTAGTGAAATAATACGCGGAGTTGTATGATCAGAGATTCACGAGACCCCCCAAAATTATAAAATCTTCTTTGATTCATCACGCCTTTCGATCTATGATAAAGTAAAAATTGTGTAAATTGTGTCTGAAATATGAGATTTTACACAAAATCCACGTGAAGGTCTTCATAATATTATATTGATCTCTAATGTAACGTAAATTATAATTCATGTAGTGATGAATTGATCTACATTGCAACGTTATAACGTTCGACCCCCCCCCCCCCCCAATTAAAAAAAATAAATCGCGCACTAATATAACCTTATGCAGTTGCGAGCGCCGTAAAGCCCCATACTAAGCTTCGATCCCCTTCTTAGAATTCATTAGAATATGAGGCGATTAAAAAAAATTCACATTGTGTGTGTGTGTGTGTGTGTGTGTGTGTGTGTGTGTGTGTGTGTGTGTGTGTGTGTGTGTGTGTGTGCGCGTGCGCGTGTGTGTGTGTTTGCGTGCGTGCGCGAAACCATGTGTGTGTATGTGTGTGAGTTCGAAGTCAGAGAGAGAGAGAGAGAGGGTCGTGGCGGGAGCATGAGATGGAGTAAAGAGGATAGGTTCACGGAGCAAGCAGTGAGACTAGAGTGAGCAAGGCGGGAGCACGTGGGGGGGGGGGGGGGGATATTGTTTTGTGTATCGAATAAGTTCCGAGAATACTTTTTATAGATCTATAGACCAAGGCTATTTGGAGGAAAGTAAATTTGTGCGCAATACTCTCAGTGTCAAACCAATTGTGTGAGCTTGCTAAGCAAACTGACCTCAATCAGTTTTAAACGGCATTGACATTAATATTTTTTATATCTTAAAATTTTTAGATACTTTTTTTAAACGTTGACTGACGATGTCATCTATTTATGCGCTTCGTAGTTTTATACTCTCTACCATGTTTTTATTTTGCTTTGATCTCCCATTGGTCAAATTCAACTCATGCGCCATTTTCCATTGAATTTTCCAACAAATTTAGAACGAAGATGGCTGACGACGAAAACAACGCGAAACCCACTGAAGCAAAGGTCAATTTTCCCCTAGATCTAGATAGTGCTGTTTTATTTATGAAGGGCAGATCATCTGACTGATCAAAGTCAACATTAGTAGTGAAATGGTCATTAATACTAAACTTTTGGTGTTGCTTTGGGAGATGGCTTCCTAGCGTTAGTTGAGAGACACCAGTTACCGATATTGTGGGAAAACTGCCGGGAAAAGCGAAGGTGGCGTTGGTTTCGTTTTTGGGTTGCTAAAGTAGATCTAATGCTCAAGTTAACTCAAGGCAATAGTATTGAATAGGGCGCACTTTTTGCAAAGGTCTTTCTAATCTTTCCATGGTGATGCATAGATCTGTCTAGAATCAAGATTCTAGATCAGTTATTCTGTTATTTTTAGATTGTTGATTGGAGATCTGGGCCTGGCGGCCTGGGTTTTTTTTTTTTAACCCTCATCCTGCGGGAGCCGGGTTTATGTAGACCGGTAAGCCTATTTCGGTACCTCGCCTACGTTCTGGTCCCGAATCAGTGTAGCTCCTGGCTCAGCGCACGCGCAGCGCGCATCCTCTTACGTGTCATTCGGGTCCCGAGTCGGATCCCCATTCACGCAGGTCAAGTGTGAGCGTGTCAGTCTGCTTGAGTTTGTGTGCGTTTGTGGCCTTCTTCTAGATCTAGATCTAGATCTAGATCTAGATTAGATCTAATTCTAGAGTAAAATTATCGGTTCGGTCAAAATTACTAATTAGGACGAAAACAGGCACGTCGACTTTAAAGCTTTATAATATC